GTGTCACGTGTTAATATTGGTCAAAAATATAAATAGTTATTTTAGAACACATTTCCCATATACTTTTAGACATTTTTTGGAATCCTCCCTTGCACTCTGACCATAGGGTAGATATTTGATGTAATTTTTTTTTAATGAGCAGGCCTTGAAAAGTTGGATTAGGGACACACACGGTTATTTCAACTCTAGGGGCAAAATCATAAAGGGGGTGGAGAACATCCCCCCCCATCTATAGTAGACAACACAATTGGGATAGGGTTTAACAATTCTCTATAAATCTGTCAGCTGTAGGTATGTTGATCCTAACTTGACAAATTTGGGTTTTACATTACTTTTAATTTGGGTTTTACATTATCTTTGAGCCCCCTGGATGAATTCCAAGTAACCCCCTGAATGAATCCTTTTTTTCATTTCGGATAATAATTTGAGGCTGGGCTTAAAGTCTTGATTTGCCGAGGCTGGATTTAGAGGATAGAGAAGGGTAGCAGAGGACAGAGAGGGATATTACGGATAGAGGACGTTTACCGGAGAAAAGAGGGTTCAGATCGTTTAGATCAATTACAGTGACAGCATCTAGATTTCAAGGTCTCCGTGTCATGTTTTCTTGGCACATGCTGGGGGGGGGGGGGGTTCAGCACCCGTTGGGGCCTGAAAACCCCATAAAATTAATATATTTCACTGTTTCATGGGGGGCTCACCCCCCCCCCCCTGAATATGCCACGTTGAATTACAAGACAGAAAGAGAGACTGTTCTACCTACGCCGCTTGGCCCCCTATGCCCGAAATTTTAAAGAGTATCGTTGAACGAAACTATAGAGTTTCCTTTTTTGGGGTCTCAACATTTATGTAGATTTTAATTTATTTAAAAGATTCGAAAAAATGGAAAATATGAAGAATCTTAATAAAATAAGTTTAGAGCTCTACCCTCTTATATCTGAAGCGCTCTGCGCTCAGCCCCCTTGCCTGTCCTAGCTGCAGCGCTTGGCCCAGAAAGTGTCAACACCAACACAACACAAACACTAAATATTAATCTTTCTTGTTGTTCAAAACAGCAAGCACGAGTAACTTCTTTAAACAACTGCTTGTTTTTGTTGGGTTAAAGTGGCCCTCATTTTGTTAATTACATTCCAGGTTTGTACACTGGCCTCTTTTCACCTATAATATTATTGAAAATACGAAAGATTTGTTTTTGCACCAAATCTGCGAGTTGCTTACTAGAAAAACCACAATTTAAAATGATCAAAAAAGGATATTTTTTGCTAAGACAAATGTTTCAAGGGTACCGTACAGATTGATAATAGAGTGATGTAAATCTGTAAGCGGTGGATGGTTACGATTTGAGTTCCTTAAATAGTATTTCTTCTACTTAAGTTTTGTAAAAATTTCAACTCAAAGAAACTAGAAATTTTAGCAAACGACTGTATTATTATTTTGTTCTTTTATTTATTCAGTGCAGTGACCATGCAGTATAAAAGTTTAAAATACACATTTATGTCCTGGAACCCCTGGAACCCCTGGAACAACAACTTTTTACTGTTCAATTATTGGACAGCTAAATTTATCTTTTTTCGTAGCAAATGTTGGAGAAATAATTTGAAAAAAAAAATATTTTGAATCTTTTTTTCAGGAGGTTAAAGTTTTAATTCCCTCATTAAGGAAGCTATTAGAAGTTGTCAGTTTTATATTTGAGTAAAAATAAAGAATTACTGAAGAAGAAATTCAAGCAAAGTTTAACAAAATTTCTGACTTCATTTGTTTACACAGTTGGGAGAAATTCAAACATTGTTAGAAAATTGACCAGGGACAGTTTGACCTGTCAAATATATAGATATATGTCATAATTGCATATTTTTATAGTGCAACAGGGGGGGCTAACATTTTCTCTACTTCCCCCCCCCCTCCGCTTTATTATTGTGACTACTTCTGTTGTGTCTGATGTTTAGTGTACTGCAACTTAATGTAAATAAAACGTTTCCAGCTTTAAACATTATGTCAAACTTAAACAAATATTTTTATTGTAAATAAGTCGAAAGTTAAACATCTAAACTATCCAGGGGCGTACACAACAATCTTTCGATATTCCAAGGGGGGGGGCTGAATACTAATTCTAAGGTGGAGTTTACCCCCCCCCCCCCCNTAAAATATTTAACTTTAATCTAACAAAATTATTTTTAATTTTAATTATTTAAAATTAAACCTTTTTTTGATTAAAAATCGATGCAGATTTGATCTTAATTTTATTTCAGAAAAATTAACAAATTTTAAGGAAACTTGGATAAAAAAAAAATTAGGTAAGTTATCAGATATAACAGTTTAAATACTTTTAAGAAAGCTAAAAACTTTTTTTTTGCTATTCATAAAATTTAATAACAATAAATAATTTGGTAAAATTATTGTATCAAATAGTCTAAGTTTGAAATATCAATACTTTATACACTATACACTATCAGGTTGGAAAGATAAAGAGATTTAAAAAATTTAGTTTTAAAAACATGTATTTAGTAAAAAAATTGAAAATTGAATTTTGTAATATTTTATATTTTAGAACTTTTGATTGTTTGTAGTAAATTAATTTTTTCTAGATATATTTTACAAAAAAATGTTTCTATTTATTAAAATAATTGGTGCTTTAAGACAAAAAACGATACAGAATGTATTTTTATAAAATATAAAAGGACTAGCTTGGAAACCCAGCTTTACCTGGGAACTATACCTTCTCAATAAAAGTCAACCCACTATAAATAGAAGTAGAATTAGAACCAAGCTGAATATTTCAGTGGTTCTACCGAAAAATTCAGGCGAATCGGTCATTGGGTTCATAAGTTCTAATTGGATAAACACACAGAGATCTGATATTATTGATTTATTTCTCTCTAGTAGATATAGTATATAGATATTCCTTTTGTCCTCACTGTTTAGCAGCGCTTACTATTTTCCTTTATTGTCTGGCAGCCCTAGAAAATATAATGTTTTAAAGAAAAGTTGAAAATCCAATGCGCAACATTTCTTCTCGTTTGTCGCAGTTATGTCATATCAAAAAGTTTAAGGATTAACTGTAAAAGTTTTGCAGAAATATAGTTTTGTAGGAAAGATAAGTTTTGACTTAAAACGCGGAAAGTTTAAAGAAAATGAAAAGTTTAAAAAAGAGATATCGTTGTTATTTTAAGGGAGGCAACACGATTATAAAAAGGTACCTTACCTTTATCGTATAACTAATGTGTGGAAGATATCGTCGTTTTTCTTGAAAAATGTTTAATTCTCATACTTCCCTTAATTTTTGCTAAAGCAGAAATCCGCAAGCATCCCCCCTCATGGGTCACAGGGCTAGTGCTAAAATAGCAGCACACTTGTTTGTATATGTTGGATCTAAAGATAACATTTAAACTCTAAATTATTCTCTCAGTCACCTTATTTTTTACATTTTTCCTAATAATTAATGGCATGGACATGGAGAATAGAGATCAAGTTAGTAAACGGGGATATTTGTGCCCTAAGATTCTAGGGGGGGGGGGGGTAATTACCCCCAGGCTTCTAGGGGGGGGGGTAATTACTTCCAGGATTCTAGGGGGGGGGGGGTAAGTAACCCCAATAACCCCCCTTATTTACGCCACTGTGAAAGTGCTATTGAGAATAACAATGTTTTCTATTGCTAATATATTACCGGCTAAAGGAGTCTTTGGAACAAAATCAAATATTTAAACCCCAATATCTTTAGAACCCGATGTTGTAAACCTTTGATATGTCAAACTCTGATTACTTGATTTAACAGAACTCATAGTTTGAAATATCTAAGGTCCACAAATTTTGGTTCCAAAGATATAGTGATTAGAAAATCAGAGTTTGTGGCGAAGACTCAATTCCTTTGCTTTTATCATACGTGTCTATCCAAACTGAAGGATCTACAAGGTTACTAAATCATACTAGTAGTAGAAAGGAAATGATTTTTTGCCACTAACTCAAATTTTCTAATCCGTTTTATCTTTGCAACCTGATGTGTTTGAGTTCAACTATTTTATATTATGTGTCCATGGGATCACCATAATTTTCTAAATGAGATTTGAAAGTTCTTAAAACATTTTTTAAACCAAAAACAAATGTCTTTAACTTAACTTACTTAACACCGATTTGACAAAGTTTTAGTTTATATAGTTAAAGGGGCATATTAAGGGGTAGGAGAAGGAGGGGGGGGTCATGTTGTCAGTAGGTTTTCTAAAAAGGGTAATTTACAGATCAAAAACAAGGGCATGGTGAAAATGAAAAGGATTCAGAATTCGAAGACTTGCGTAGTTTCTTATTAAATATCTAATTTTGCACAGTTTTTTTACGTATCCATCTCTTTTTTTGAAATGTTTACTTCAATTTAAACTTTTTTTGAAAGCAAACTAAATATTTAATTTGTTTAATCTTGTCAATATAAAAATCCAATCTACAACTTTATATCGTAAAATACAGAAATATCCTCTTTCAGAGTTAATATTTCATTTTTCATTTCAAAATTTGAAATTATTTTTCCCAAAAGTGATGTAATTTAAAGGAATTAGGTTTAAAAAAAGAACCCCCTTAGAATTTTATAGTTAAATAAAGAATTATTTTCAGTGAAGTATTTAAAATTATACTTACAAGAGCAGGAGGAAAAGACAGGGGTGGATACAGGATTTAAGTGAGGTGGTGCTGGATTTATTTCGGAACAAAAAAATCCAGATTTAGGAACCAAAAGACGCGCTGCAGCCGAAATTCTTTTTAAGATAGATATTTTTTTCTGTTTTGCAATAGGTTTTCTATCCCTTAAGTGCTATTAAGAAGCTATTCTGAAATCTCAGGGGGGGGGATGCAAAGGTCCTGCCGCCCCCCCCCCCCCTCCTGTATCTGCCCCTAGGAAAAGAGCTTTACTTACTTACGAATTTAAAGCAAAATTGAGCAAATATATTAACAAACATATACATATATACAAATGTATATAAAAACATTATTTTAATTTAATAGGTCTGTTAACACTGCACAATTGTTGTATATCATGTACATTGGACTAGTCAAATTCATATCTTTGGTCTAAAAGTCGTCTTTCAATTCCATAGTTTTACAGTTATCACTGAAAGGAAATAAGGAAGGAAAATTTAAATTTTTTTCAGATGATGAGTGATTTTGAATGTTTAACTAACTGTTCTATGATCGACCCAGAAACCTGCACTATCTTACAGTCTGGTAAACAGTATCAAGAGGTATCATTATTATTATTATTATTATTATTATTATTATTATAAATATTAATATTATGATCATTATTATTTTTATTATTTTTTATTTTTAATTGTTAGTAAATACTATCATATTATCATTATTATTATTATTATCATTGTTATTATCCTTATTATCATAATTTATATTTATAATTGTTATGATAATTTTTTTGTTCTTTTGTTATTAATTGTAAAGGAAAATATATTTTCCCGTTGAAAATAATATTGCCGAAAATTCCAAGGTTAAGAGGAGGAGTTCTAAAATATATATTTTTTTAATATTAGAATTTTATATTTTGTTTTCCTCAGATCAATCAAGTTGGACAATCAAACCAGAGTTAAAGATATTTAGTTGAATAATTTCTCCCCTTCCCCTAACGGGATTTTTTTTTTCAAGCGTATTTTCTGAATTCTGAAATTTTTTTAATTCTGGGGTAAAAAGTTTCAAATGTTTAGAAAAAAAGTCGAATTTTGTCGCCACTGTTTGTAAATCAAAATAGTTATAAGTTTTGGAAACCTTAAAATTTGGATTGAACAATTTTTAAAAATTCAAAATGTTCAAATTTGTAAATTTGAAAGTTTATGAAAATTGTAAACTTTTCGAAAGGCTTGTGAAGGGTTAAACTGTAACAATACAAAAGTTTTGAATTTTCTGAGTTTTCAAGAAATTGCCAAATTTCGGAGAGATTGAGAACTAAGGATCAAAAGAAATTGGACAGGTTCTGGAAAATTTCAGAATCTTTTGTTGGAAGTTTCATATTTCTGAAGTTGAGTTCCACATGTGTGAACCCCTCCCCATCTTTTGGGTGGGGGGGAGGGGGGTTCATTGATCTTGAGATAGGATGGATAATTGCCAGGTCACAAAGATATTTATAATATTTCATAAATATTTATTTACACACAAAGATAAAGATACGTATATTAATGGATATTAATGGTGTAGTTTAAAGCATATGAGTCTTTGCCATACTCTTTTTCTATTACCTATATCATTGCAACCCGATGTTGTAGACCTTTGATATTTTGGCAGATTAAGAAAAAGAAAAGAAATCATCAGGTTGCAAAGATAAAGGGATTATCAAACTCAATAATTTTTTTAACATCAACCTTAAATAACATATGTATCATTCTGTCATTTAAGATCGTTACTCGGGACATTTTTATATTTTTATATTTCAATTGTTTCTTAACTAAAGTTTGGCTCAGATCAAACAAATCTACAAAACATTCATTTGCAATAGAACATAAAATTTTAATCAAAACCATAACTCAGGTCTTTTCAAGATATAAACACATCAAAAGGCCAACATAGTTTTAAAAAGTAAACCCTGAGAAATGCTTTGAATAAAGTATCATATGTATATCTCTGGTACAATATAGAGCAATCTAATAACAGTATTCCATGCTGTATACAATTTTGTAACACATTTGTATCTTAAATCTCGATAACTGAATGCATGAAAACTTTAAAAATGAATATTAAACAATTTCAAAATAACATCTGGATTGTTAAAAAAATGGTTGAAATGGATTGAATCTTTGAAATAAGAATGGCGATATATCATGTATTATTAATAATATTTTTCTGTGGAAAAAAAGCATTTTAGTTTTTCATTTACGTTTAGAAAACTATTAATGAAGAGAGTAATCAGTTCTAAACAATTCTTAATCCAAAACAGATAAACAAAATGTTTATTACAGAAACAGAAACAGAAACAGAAACAGAAACAGAAACAGAAACAGAAACAGAAACAGAAACAGAAACAGAACCAGAACCAGAAACAGAAACAGAAACAGAAACAGAAACAGAAACAGAAACAGAAACAGATACGGAAACAGAAACAGAAACAGAAACAGAAACAGAAACGAAACTAATAAATTCTTATTTCAAAATTCCTATATCTTTGCAACTTGATCTTATAGATCTTTGATATTTCAAACTATAAATTATATTTGATGAAATAGTAAAAGTTTTAAATATTAAAAAAGTTTTAAATATTTAAGGTTTACTCCATTATGTTCCAAAGACAGGGAATTCAATAAAATGTGGAACTAACATCAACTTTATTTTACTCTACAGAGGTTTGGTCCATCAACATCACCGAATTTTAAAATTTGAGTTTGTTGCAATAACTCATTTTGAAAATTGCTTCCTCTAAAATTGCAATTATTTATATCTATATTTGTCACATCTGTGTGCTTTATAGAAGAGGTTAATAAAAATCACAATAAGACATCTAGTGTTTTATCTTTATAGCTCTTAATCTATGGATTAAACTTTATTATTGAGGATTTGACGATTCTCAATTAATTCTCATTTGTGATATATATATATAGTTTCTGATTTCAGGATTTCAACAATACCTCTCTTTGAACGTCAACCCACTTAATTTAGAATTTCAGATATTTCCGTGGTTCCGCCGAGTTCACGAGTTATGATCGGAAATACGATACAAAATAACAGAGATTACTTCTTTACACATTTAGAAGAAACATTGCATTTTTATCTCAAATATTTTGTTTCGGGAAATATGAATTTACGTTTATCAATTTCATAATTAGGGATCTCACCTTTTAAGAAACATTATTTTGATAAAACAAAAACAACATTTCCTTAAAGAATTTCCTTAAAGATTTTCCTTAAAGAATAATCTCTGTGTAAATAGTAAAACAAATCCCATAAATACAATACAAATTATAATAATAAAATAACATAAAAACTGTACTGTACTGTACTGTACTGTACTGTACTGTACTGTACTGTACTGTACTGTACTGTATTGTACTGTACTGTACTGTATTGCACTGTACTGTACTATACTGTACTGTACTGTACTGTACTGCACTGTACTGTACTGTACTGTACTGTACTGTACTATACTGTACTGTACTGTTCTGTATTGTACTGTTCTGCATTGTACTGTACTGTACTGTACTGTACTATACTGTACTGTACTGTACTGTATTGTACTGTACTGTACTGAACTGTACTGAACTGTACTGTACTGTACTGTACTGTACTGTACTGTACTGTACTGTACTGTACTGTACTGTACTGTACTGTACTGTACTGTACTGTACTGTACTGTACTGTACTGTACTGTATTGTACTGTTCTGCATTGTACTGTACTGTAATGTACGGTTATGTACTTTAGGCTCTTTACGACGAGGATGGCTGTTTTGAACCTGAACGATATTTTCGTGAAAACAACAGTATAAATGTTTATATTCAGGTAGATACTCTAACTTTTCATGGTTATATTTATTTTTTACAGAAACCCAGCTTTAACTGGAAACTGTACTTTCCTAAAATTTGAATCAACTGAACTTAAAATCTTTAAACCCAGCTAAGAACATTCCTATGGTGCTTCTGAGTTCCCCAATAACTCTATATAATGGATTCTTCATGAGAATCCATTATATAGAGAGAACTCAATTGTATTTTTTTGTCCGTGAATATTTTGATTCTGAAAACTGCTTGCAATACCAATAAAATGATGGCTTGCAACCAATTTCCCAGGAAAAATTAGTTTTTTATTATCTAAAATTGTTTGAAGATCAAAAACATAAAGTAAATATATCCCAAGAATTGAAGATTTAAAGATAAAATCGGAAAGCACAAAAATTGCAAAATAAAATTCTTTCAGGTTTCTCGAATTTTCTCGATCCTGATTATTGTCCTTGGAGGGGCTGGGTTCGTGGGAAACCTTATCTCTATTCTCATCTTCTCCAGGTATAGATTAGTATACTAGAACAGGATTTACTAGTCTCCAGGTATAGAATAGTATACTGGAACAGGATTTACTAGTCTCCAGGTATAGATTAGTATACAGGAACAGGATATACTAGTTTCTAGGTATAGATTAGTATACAGCAACAGGATATATTATTCTCCAAGTATAGATTAGTACACAGGAACAGGATATACTAGTCTCCAGGTATAGATTTGTATACAGGTACAGGATATATTATTCTCCAGGTATAGATTAGTATACAGGAACAGGATTTACTAGTCTCCAGGTATAGATTAGTATACTGGAACCGGATATACTAGTCTCCAAGTATAGATTAGTATACTGGAACAGGATTTACTAGTCTCCAGGTATAGATTAGTATAAAGGAACAGGATACACTAGTCTCCAGGTATAGATTTGTATCTGGAACAGGATTTATTAGTCTCCAGGTATAGATTAGTACACAGGAACAGGATATACTAGTCTCCGGGTATAGATTAGTATCTGGAACAGGATTTATTAGTCTCCAGGTATAGATTAGTATACTGGAACAGGATATACTAGTGTCCAGGTATAGATTAGTATACTGGAACCGGATATACTAGTCTCCAGTTATAAATTAGTATACTGGAACAGGATTTACTAGTCTCCAGGTATTGATTAGTATCTGGAACAGGATTTATTAGCCTCCAGGTATAGATTAGTATACTGCAACAGGGTATACTAGTCTCCGGGTACAGATTAGTATATGGAATAGAATACACTAGTCTCCAGGTATAGATTACTATACAGGAACAGGATATGCTATTCTCCGGGTACAGATTAGTATCTGGAACAGGGTATACTATGTCTTTGGGTACAAATTAGTATATGGAATAGGATACACAAATCTCCAGATATAGATTAGTATACTACAATAGGATATCCGATATACTAGTATCCAGATATAGGTAAGTATACAGGAACATCATACCATACAAGAAACACAAGGTACAGATTAATATACTGTTTTTCAACCTTAAAGAATTTACGGGTTTTTTTTGCGGCTTCTTAAAAGATCTACGAGAATCAAAGTTTGCAATAAAGGAATTGAGTTAGTGGTAACAATTTTCTAATATTTGCAACCCAATGTTGAAGACCTTAGATATTTCAAGCTATGAATTCTGTTAGATCAAATAAACTGAGCTAAAAACATCAAAAGGTTTCACCATCAGGTTGAAATGATATGGAAATTAGAAAATTTGAATTTGTGGCAAAGACTCAATATCTTTGAACTGAGGATATAAGTTATTTGAAACCTGGTCAGGATTCTGTCAAAGTCTGCATTGTGAATATCATAAAATCAAAAACCTTGTAAAACATAAAATCTTTAAAGTCAAACATTTAAATATTTCTAGAAGCATCTTGTAGGCCAAAAAATAAAATGTTTCTAAACAAAGAATAATCGGAGTAAAACATTTAATAGCTTTTAAATATTAATTCAAATTGATCCAAGATATCTGTTTTCTTTTTCTAATGTTTGTAATTGTGCAAAAATCTAGATGTTTGCATAAAAATTTGCATATTTAAATTAGGATTCTCAAATCCATTAGTTCTTTTGTAAAGAGACTGTATTCTATATATTGTGTTTTATTTAAAAAATATATCTACTTTTCACTTTACAAGCCATGAAACGACTATATCTCCTAATTTATTGATCAGATAAAGGTTAAACTTCTACCGTTTAATGGAGTTCACAATTAGAAATACAAGGACAGTCCCTTTAATATTAAGACATTTATCAATGTTATTGCACGAAAGAAATTTATCTTCAACAGCTGATCGGATCGGATCGGATCGGATCGGATTGAGAAAAAATTAGAGAAAGTTTTGCAGAAATTGCATTGCTTGAGGCCCCTTTACAAAATGAAGATTAAGTATTGTAAAGCAAGAATTTATTAAAAAAATTGTTTTATAAAAAAAAATTAATCAAATTAAGGAAATTATAATTTGTCACAAACTCTTATTTCTAATCTTTTTATCTTTGCAACCTGGTGTTTGACATTAAACATGAATTCTAATTAATTAATTAATTAATTAAACATCAAAGGTTCATATCATGAGGTTGCAAAGATTACAATTTAAAGTTTGCGGCAAAAATATTTTTTTTTTTGTATTTCACTGAAGTTGTATATTCATTGTTAGGCCTGACATGAGAAACTGTTTTGGACAAATTCTGATCTCTCTAAACTTTTTCGACAGGTAACATAAAACATATTTTATCAGAGCTAAACAGTTTGTGTTTTGAATCTATATCTCAGTCTAGGTTTCGTTTAGATTTTAGAAGATTAGAACCTTCATCTTTAAAATTCTAGACCAAAATTTCCCAGCCCACTTAACAAAGCTTGATCAAGTTCTTATCCCTTTAAAGAAAAATTTCTGATCACAAAAGAGATTTTGTAACTTTATGACAAATGTAATTCACCCTTGTCTAAAAAAATGATATTAATATTAATATTATATATTTTACAATTATATTCTAATGTAAACTGAGATTATCCTAAAGTTTCAAGTGACCACAGACTTATTGATCAAACAGATGAAAAATCAGAACAGATCTTTCGTAAGACATATTTATTCTTATTTAAAAAGGATATGTTTTAGTTTACACATTGGGTTCTCAATACTGGAAAGTTTAAGGAATAACTTTGAGAGTTCCTACCCTGATCTCCTACTGCACATCTTTCCATTCTTTCACTACCCTATGTATAGGTAACCTTCTACTTATTATTTTTTTCATATGCCGATTTCATGGGGGGTGGGGGGGGGAGGCAATTCCTCTTCTTGAAGGAAGGAAAAAATGATCATTAGGAAAAAATTCATGCTCAAGGAAGGTTGGGCCTAGGAGGCCCCCCTGGACAAATTTCAAATTTCTGTATACGCCTCTGGATGTTTTCTAAATGTTATCAAATAGATTTAGAATATAAAGGATCCATCATAACCGGTTTTGTATATACATTGTTTGTACAGGATGTCGATGTGTGCGTCTATCTTCCTTCTGATTGGAACAGGCGTAGAACGTTATCTTGCCGTCTGCAGACCTCATCACTATCATACGGTTAGTGATATGAATTCCGTTCATTCATACTATTAGACATTAGTGATTTGCATTCCGTTCATTCATATGGTTAGTATTGTGCATTCTGTTCATTCTTATGGTTATTGATGTGCATTCCGTTGATTCATAATGTCAGAAATGTGCATTCCAGTCATTCATAATGTCAGAAATGTGCATTCCGTTCATTCATATTATCAGTAATGTGCATTTCGTTGATTCATATTCATATATTAATTCATCTTTTTTCTTCATGTCATTCAATAGTTCAACTATTCATTCACCAACCTTCCTTCCATCCACATAATGTGCATACCGTTCATTCATATTGTTATTGATGAGCATTCCGTTGATTCATATTGTCAGTAATGTGTATTCCGTTGATTCATATTGTCAGTAATGTGTATTCCGTTGATTGGATTGTTTTCCTCTATATTTTCTGTCACTGTCCAAAGTTAGCAATAAAGTGTTTATTCTGAACATGTCCTTTTCTTACACTATGCCAAAATATAGGGAAAATGAACCCAAAACAGTTCAACAACAATCCAAAAATATCTAAAATGTTTCTAAATATGTGCTAAAAAACTAGGGGGTTTTCCCTTATATTTTATATACTTAGACCAAGACCAGTGTGTTTACATTGTATCCCAATTAAACTCATTGTAATGGATCAGTTTGACATCAGTTTCATGCATTTTTTAAATACCCTTTTTTATCAAAACTGAACCATTAAGGATATTTGGTCTTGCGACCGAAAACCTAGGCGTTTCTGGAACTTTAGTATTGCACTGAATATAGTTTGTTTATGAAGTATTAATACATACATTATCAAGTTTGTAATTATTAATTAATCTCTATGATTAAATAATTAAAACTTCAGCAATTAATTTCTAAAATACGCACATTTTTTAAGACCCAGACAATTAATTGTTACATTATGTTTGTAAACAGAAAGAACTCATAGAATCAGATGTAACAGACAATTCAGTTCAATTTTATGCTAAGTCCATCTTTTAAACCAAATTATTAGACTAAAAACCCGTTAATTCAATTAAACGTACATCTAGACGAACAACCCAGTTAGACATTAGTGAAAGGGAAAACAATAATGAACCTTTTAAGGTAATGCGACTTATGGTTATAATAGATACTCACTGAAGGGCCCAGCGTTGCTCGTGAAAAAAAAAATTGAAAAAAACATTTCAATTTTTTGAGCCTATGACACCCCCAGCTACCCATGAGTGTCCACAAAAAATGTCTTGTTTTATTATATAGATAAAAGTAATCACTTCAGGTTCAAAATCAGACATTCCGAGCTCTCTACTACATCTTACCCAGCACAATTGCCGCTATTCTCATCAACATTCCCAGGTGTCATTTCTTGTCGTCTTCCTTGATTTGTTTGTTTTTATTGGTTTATTTATTTCCCAACATATGCTTTTCAATTTAGTTGCAATAAATATTAAAAAAGAATATATAAATTTTGTTAATGTTGTAGCTTTTTCAAAAAACAGTCTAGTTGAAGTTTCGATGGAACAAGAACTAATACAGATTATTTGTGTCAGATTCTTTGATATTGAAATTGCAAATCTCTGTCTCGATTTTACTGACTGCGGTTGTGAGAAAATTGAAAGGTAAATTAAGTTTATTAATTCTATATCACGGGCAGCCATAGATACATTTGAATTTCCGAGCCAGGTCAACCTTTCCGGTCCCATGGTTTGTCCTTTATCGCCCAAACATTGGGTAAATAAAGCAGACACTAAATAGGACTAGCCGGTGCAAAAAGGTTGACGCGGTCAGACTTTAGGTTGAATTTACTTTAACTAAAGGGTCAGAGGTGCGTGATATTACATTCAATATATCAAAAACATATTTTATAATGTTGTGAAAACTAAAGCTAAAGAAAAACTACAATAGAATTTTGCATGAACAAACTACTTTATAAATGATGCTCTTTAGATAGACTACCCCAAATAGATTATCAAGTACAAAATTGTGGAAACAGAGAAATAAACCAATTATACACAACGTCACAAGTGTCAAATATAACAAGGTAAAAGAAATTGTCTCAAATTAGTTCACATGTTTTCCAAGATTAATTATTAAAGTGTAAAAACAGAAACTAAAGAAAACACATAAAATTTCACTTATTTTACTGTAAGATACGCACATTATTTTAAAATTATCACTATTTTTGATAATTTTGTCGGGCACAAAAACTGAAATGACACTTGTACGTCAGAATACAACTGTACGAAGTGAATAAACCCTATTTGTTTATAGACTTTTTATAGACTTTAAACCACGATATTTTTTAAATATAATGATTAGTATGTTGCATGAGAGTGTACAAATTCTACGTTGCCATCTATTGTACTAGAATCTATTTGGACTATCCCTGTGGAAAGATGTATTGTCTTTGTTTATCCCTTTATGCTTATTAGATATACAACTGCAGTTTCATTCTCCCCGAGCATCTGAATACCATTTGGGTAAAACTAAAAATGCACCCAATCTAATCCAATTTAATCTAACCAGAGTGTTTTCATTCAACAATTCAAGAAAGAAGACATTTTCTATAATATATCAAATAAAGCTAAAGTTTTTGCTGGCCCTGCCACACAAAGTCTCAACCACAAAACTAAACAATAAAAATACTGCTTTTAGCTTGTCATTGCTGTACAAAGTATTATTGTTACTTGAAACTTTAAGATAATAAAGAAGTTTGAGAAGAAAATGGAAAACAATATTTCTAGAAGTTCAAATTATTTTAAATTTTTTTGGGGGAATATGATTTGGATAACTTAGATAAATACATGGAGTATAGAATATAAAGGAGATAGAAACGACGGGGCCCGCCCTACCATAAGATTATACATGCATTGCAGACGGGGTCCTCAATTTGAAAAAAAAATTTAAGGTCGTCTTTTGATTTTTTATGTTGTGGTTTTGAACTTTGTCATATTAAATAAAACCAATTTTTATATTATAATATATATCTTAAAGCATGCTTGTTTCTATTGCTAATATTTTTGCATCCCAAAAAATGTATTTGTTTGCGTTATTCAGCCAAATTTTTTCCCTCTATAATGTATACAATAACCTATTCTGAATAAATGCAGGCGGTGTTTGTACATTCTTGTTCAAACGATATTGTAGGGCGGGCTGCGTCGTTTACGTCTCCTTTATGTACCATACTCCTTGGATAAATACATTTTCATCATTTATAAAGAAAACCTCCGAAATTCCTCATGTCTCTTGTAGACTAAGATATTTTAAATGCTGAAATAATTGTAAAACTAAGCTTGTCCCAGCTTGACCTAAACTCTTTGAATAATTGAAGTTGTGTACTGCAGTTTCTATGGGGAAAGTAAACAATTAAAGAGCTACCTGCTCAGCTCGAAACTTAAGACAGATAATTGTATTGAAACCCAGGAAACCCGGATTCATGCAGTTTTGTAAATACCAATTATTTTTGTTCAGAAATATTATTTTATATTGTTCCTTAACATTCTCTTTTTGTTTCCTGATTTCTCTTTAATTAAAATCTACGAAAAAGCATAGACCCTCCAAAAACGATACTCTCTTCTATTGTATTCAGAGCCCAAAACAGGGTATCGATATGAAAACCAGTTTTGAAATATTTTCTGTTTCTTCATGTTCTCCATTTTTGTTGAATCTTTTAGATCAAAATCTACAAAATGTTAAGACCCCAAAAAGGAAAGTCAGGAGTTTGGTTCAACGATACTCTTTTAAATTTCGGGCTCAGCTACAGTAAGATGTGTACACTGTACAAAAACGGGAGAGTACCTTATTAGGAGATTAATATGTCAAAGAAATAAAACGGGAGAGTACCTTATTAGGAGATTAATATGTCAAAGAAATAAAACGGGAGAGTACCTTATTAGGAGATTAATATGTCAAAGAAATAAAATTGATCAATTTTGATTTAAGTCAATGATCAATTTTGATTTAAGTCAATGATCCATTTTGATTTAAGTCAATGCTCAATTTTGAATTAAGTCAATTATCAATCTTGATTTAAGTCAATTATCAATCTTGATTTAAGTCAATGATCAATTTTGATTTAAGTGAATGATCAATCTTGATTTAAGTCAATGATCAATTTTGATTTAAGTCAACGATCAATCTTGATTTAAGTCATTGATCAATTTTGATTTAAGTCAATGATAAATTTTGATTAGTCATGATAAATTTTGAATCTTCAAAATTTGATTCATCAATGATTAATCTAATTTATAAACAAACATTTTTTTTATTTTTAACGATCAATTTTATTTCATTATCCATCAATCTTGTTTTGTCTACAGTTAAACCTTAAATAAGCCATTACATCGAAAGAATTCATCAAATGTCGTATTCTTCACTTGCTGATAATGGAATGTTGGAGATATTTAGTTTTTTAATTAAATGATTATATAGGGCTCTAAAACTGTTCCAGCATATTCATGGCTATTTGTTTATTTTCGCAAATACTGAGATTTACGTAAAATAGTATATAACCCATTGAAACATTGTCAAAACGACATTCGATAAATTCTTTCGTTGTATGGCCCACTCAGGGTTTAACATAATCAATTTTGTTTCCTCATTAATGAAACTTGTGTCTGTTGTTGAAGATCAACAATGTTTGCTTCAGAAAAATGAAGAAATTCGAATTAAATGGAAACAAAATAGGAAAAGGAACGATTAAGACAAAATAAGAAAAGGAACCATTAAGACAAAATAAAAAAGGAACTATTAAGACAAAATATGAAAAGTAATCATTAAGACAAAATAAGAAAAGGAACCATTAAGAGAAAATGAGAAAAGGAACTATTAAGACAAAATAAGAAAAGGAACGATTAAGACAAAATAGGAAAAGGAACCATTAAGACAAAATGAGAAAAGGAACCATTAAGACAAAATAAGAAAAGGAACCATAAAGACAAAATGAGAAAAGGAACCATTAAGACAAAATAAAAAAGAAACGATTAAGACAAAAAAGAACAGGAATCATTAAGACAAAATAAGAAAAGGAACCATTAGGACAAAATGAGAAAAGGAACAATTAAGACAAATAAGAAAAGGAACCATTTAGACAAAATAAGAAAACGAACAAACAAGACAAAATAAGAAAAGGAACGATTAAAACAAAATGAGAAAAAGAACGATTAAGACAAAATAAGCAAAGGAACCATTAGGACAAAATAAGAAAAGGAACCATTAAGACAAAATAAGAAAAGGAACAATCAAGACAAAATAAGAAAAGGAACCATTAAGAGAAAATAAGAAAAGGAACCATTAAGAGAAAATGAGAAAAGGAACTATTAAGACAAAATAAGAAAAGGAACCATTAAGACAAAATAAGAAAAGGAACAATTAAGACAAAATAAGAAAAGGAACCATAAAGATAGTGTTATAAAAATTAGAAGTATCATATAAAATATATCCTCTAGAATATAACTCTCTTCAACCTTAGTTCTATACATATTGTTTTGTTTAGGAATATTCCCATTGGTTTGCCTAATCTACCTCAACTACAACATTTACATTTCCATGCGCAAACTCAAAGACAGCCTTTTAAATAGAAGAAATCTAGGTAATTTCATGCACAGTCTCTTAAATGGAGGAAATATAGGTAATTTCATGCATATTCTCTTAAATAGAAGAAATCTAAGTAATTTCATGCACAGTCTCTTAAATAGAAGAAATATAGGCAATTTCATGCACAGTCTCTTAAATAGAAAAAATATAGGTAATTTCATGCACAGTCTCTGAAATAGAGGAAATATAGGTAACTTCATGCACAGTCTCTTAAATAGAGGAAATATAGGTAATTTCATGCACAGTCTCTTAAATAGAAGAAATCTAGGTAATTTCATGCACAGTCTCTTAAATAGAAGAAATCTAGGTAATTTTAAAGAACCATTTTTAAAAGATCAAACATTTATTTGTCTTGATTATCTTAATTATTCAATATTTTTGTCAATAAATAATCTAAAAATACTTGTTAGAAATATTGAAATGAATTTTAAAAAACATAATTATTTCAGCTTTATACATATTAATTATTTTTTCCATAAAAATATAATTTTTATTTTTTTAAATTAGTAGAATTCATAAATATTTTTAATGATTTATTCCTTTATCCTGTTTTAAATGTTTTCTTTTTTAATTTTCTACTTTAAAGTTAATGACCCTCATTCAAATATTTTTATTTACATTTTGCATTTTAGGAACAGAAAGAGAGGCGGCAAAAAGACGAAGAATTCAACAGAATAAGGAAAATTTCATTTCGTCACATTTTATTCCTGTTAATCCACAAATTGCAGAAGCACTTCAGTAATATTAAATACTTAAAATATATTCAAGATTATTTTCGCAGGGTTCTAATTCTCTTATTTCTTGAATTATATATAAAATGAATAAATTAATGATAGGACTGTAATCTAGCCGTGGTTCTTATATTCACAATCTTCATGTTTCTCCTCTGTAACACACCAAGGTAAATATATCATATTATAGACAGGGTGTCCCAAAGAACATGGAAATTCAGTGACGAATTTGAAATCTTCTTTGTTCAGAATTGCATTACTTATTTCTATGATCATATTAAAGTTAGCAGTCTATTTTAATTTTAATAAGCTGTCGGGCCTGCCCTAGAAAAATTGAACTATGAATATTTCATTGCAACTCTGTACCTTTCCTATAAGGCATTTCTCTGGGGGGGGGGTTCCCACGACCCTCCCCCCCCCCAGCGATTTATAGATTCAGACCCCCCACTTCCCAGCCTTTATAGGTTAAAAGTTTTTAAACCCTAATTGTTTAAAAACATCCCAGAATATTCTTTTAATTGATCCTTGTGATAACCTTTCTTTTTACTTGGAGGTAAAATGTTATCCGTAAAAGCATATAATTTACTAAGGAGTCTAGTTTAAGTGCAAAATAATTATAAATTAAAATTTTTTAAATCTTGAATTTTTCACACAGTTTTCCTTTCTGCTCTGCAAAATATTTAAATAAATAATGTCAGGTTAGTTTTCCTTGTGAAGTTTTCATAAATCAACAAGTTTCACAAAAATAAGTGATATAAAGTTATATTTATGGATAGAGAAGATAAAGAATAAAATAGAACAGAGCAGAATATAATAGAATAAATAGCGTAGAATAGAATAGAATAAAATGGAATAAATGGAACAAAACAGAATAGAATAGTATTAAAATCAAATCCATCCTACAGGTTACCTAAATTGAATTTCAATCACAGGATGAGCTTAAATCAATCCAATTACAAGATGGATCGTTTTTACTATTTTGAAAAACGATTGTTTCGTTTTAAAAATGATGAAGAAAAAAAGTCCTTTTTTAGTTTTAGTTTGTCGTTTCGATATTTTTTTAGACGAAAAACATGTTTTGGTTGGAAACCCCTTAAATCAGTTAAATTCAGGTTATTTCTCTCAATAATAAAAAAACCCATTAAAGACAACATTCATAAACTTATATTCCTTATCTTCCTATTACAGGGTGATCTTTAGTACATCCTATTACAGGGTGATCATTAATACATCCTATTACAGGGTCATTTTTAACAGATCATATTACAGGGTGATCTTTAGTACATCCTATTACAGGGTGATCTTTAATAGATCCTATTACAGGTTGATCTTTAGTACATCCTATTACAGGGTGATCTTTAATAGATCCTATTACAGGGTGATCTTTAGTACATCCTATTACAGGGTGATCTTTAATAGATCCTATTAAAGGGTTATCTTAATTAAAGTTCAATTACAGGATGATATTAATTAAAGTTTAATTACAGGTTGACCTTAATTAAATTTCAATTACAGGGTGATGTCTAGCCTGATAGAAGCGTATACTATCAAGGCTGAACTGGCTTGTCAGCAGAAACAAAAGGTAAACCCTAGCTCTTCAATTCATGAAGCTTGGCACCTCTTTCAAAGGTTTGGAAATTGAATATTCTAATCCCGACCTAAATAAATAAAATAATTGTATTCGGGTAAGATGTAAAAAAAACATTAACATTTCCAAATTTTGGATTACATGAAGTAGAACAAGTGCGGTTAATTGAACTACTTCTGTTCTAATAGTATAAAGGGATTGTAAGCGCGATTGCAAACCTTTTCAGTGCACCGTTGTAAATCGGACATTGCCATCTTTGCATGGAGGGTCACTTGACATTACGCTTCCCTTTTAGCGGCCTATAAGGTGGTAGTTTAACTAGTGTGCAAAGTTGATTCAACCACTTCTCTCTCGTTCAGATTTAGAAATACAGAAAGGTAGTAGAACTTTGTACGGCTAGGTCAACTTCTGGCCTTAGTTGAGATGAAATATATAGGTCTCACTATAAATTTCTTTCCGACAGAAAATTCAAATATGCCAAAAGAGATTTAAGTTATTAATTCTATAAAAAGTTACTATTTAAAAGGGTCTGTACTCGTAATTTCAGGTGTCACTTCATTTATAGAGAGATACCGATTCACGTTGAGGCCTTATCTAAGTAACGATGAGGAAGATATTGTCGTTTTTTATCTGGAAAACTTCCTCCATTGATTCTACAGAAGAAAGGTGTTAGAGAAACCACAATCGGAAATAGTTAATTTTCAAAGAGGCGATGTTGAATATCTTAAATGCATACTTGATTAGGCAAAGATATTATAATGGAACATGCCACTAGATTTTAGGTGAACAGTCCCTTTAAAATATGATTATTTAAGATAATTTACTTGTTAAGATCTACAGAGGGATCTGGTATCTATATACCCAGCTAGTGGTTCAGTTCTTGATGCTTATTAACAGGTTGGTATTCAACATAATTTTCATTTATTTGTTGAAAACTGATTAACTTTTATAAATATCACCCTCAATAGATTTTATCCGATGTCAAAATATAATCCTCAATAGATGTTATCCAATTAATAATAAACGTTAAATATTTTTGATATCATAAACATTTTTATGTAAGATGCAGCTTATCTCCAGCGATTGAACTTGATATTCACACAGTAACTTTTAAATTAAGCGATTTATGTGTCTAACTCATAAACAACTTACATTTTTTAAGCATGCGTCTTTTTACTTTTAAAAAAATTAACCCAATTAAAAAAAAAAAAAATAGCGCTTTTTTGAAGGGAGCGATTAAAAATACAACAGTTTTGGCTTTGTATCAGGTAATTAAATATTTCACAATTTTATTTCTTAATGTTTAGTTCTATGAATCTACCGATATATCTGGGACTAAGTACTCACTTTCGAACAACTCTAATCCAAAGCTTCTGCAGGCAGGGTTCAACTCCAGGTTTGTGTTTTAAGCAGCTCACTGCAAACGCCGGTTCATTTTAAAGGGACTGTAAAGGAAACATGAAAGGGGGCATAGGCTGAAAGCTAATCACTTTAGCTCTCGATCGCGGCCCATGAAAGTTATATCTGATGTTCCTATCTCGAGAAATTGATATACAACTGTGTCAAATTTATTACATTTCATTTTTCCTTTACAGTCCCTTTAAGTACCTGGCCGACTTTTTCCTTGCTAGAGCAAGCTAAACAGAACTATGTAAGGCAAACCAGGGCAGCACGCCAAATGAATGATACCCTTTCAGTGAAATTCATGTGGCAGGGTTACCCACAAAGTATGGAACTTCAAAGACGACTGTACAGAATTTGTAATGCCTGATTCCTTATGTTCATAATTCCCTGCAACTTTCTTCGCTAAATCGTTAAATAAGACATGAACAGATTTTATGTCAGGCAGAACCTATCGAGTTATATTTATTGAGTTTCAGGTCGTCTTTACAGTCCTTTCCTTAGTGGGAACCTTTTTGTGGGGAACTCTATACATATGCAGCGAAATATCCAAAAGAAATTGGTCGCACCCCCAAAACTCTATTTAATCTCCTTAACTTTGTAACCTGATAGTGTAAAACAAGGAATTTACGAGGAAGAACCATATTTTTGTTTATATAAATAGTGTACAGCAGTTTTAGGAAGGATAATAACTTAAAACTCAACATTTGTGTTCACATTTCTCTCACAATCTGTATTAAAATTTTATGTATATATATGTAAAGTAAAGCATATGGTTTTCCAGTTCTAAGAGATAATCAGGATTCAAATATATACGGATTTGAAAATTAGAATATGAAGAATAGCAATTATTGGTTCATTTTCTTGAAAAATAAAAACAAGTTAAAAGACTAATGATCCCATATTATCTCTAACTGCATAATTGTTCTTTTTTTACAGCGTGGTTATTTCTAGTTTTGAAGCAAACCTCAAACTAAATTATAAAAATTATTTTTATAAATCATCCAAATTAAATTGCCAATGCTTATTAAATATTCTCAATTTCAAACACGAAATATGCTGACCTTCCTAAAATCCAATTCTAAATAATTCTTGTATTTTGCCTTTTTAACACAAATCATTCATTAATTTTTCTAATATTAAAGCAAAATTAAAATGCCTACATTAATCCAGATTAAAAAATTTCAATTTCCAACACGAACGATTTTCCTGATTTAAAACTTTTGTAACATTTTTTTAAAACTAAATTATTCTTTAATTATGGTTAGCTAGAAAATCCCATATATTTATTACACTTTAAATCAAGAACGTATTTGTATTCTCCGCAGTCCGCAATACCCGGACAATCTTATCTTTTATTTAAAGATTATCTGTCCTCTCTTACTCCTCTTACAAAATATCTTATTTCAAATAACTTTCACTGCGAGTTTCATTTTACTACCCTGAGCTGAAAACTTAAGAATGAAATATCCTAAATCATAATCTGAGTATCCAACGGGCACACTTTGATTTTCTTCTCAAACCGTTCTTTCTTGGCTAAGAAGAGAAAAATCAAAAACCGGTTTTTTTAATGTAAATAGTTCTTCCCGTTTCTGTATATAATCTTAAATGGCGCAAAACATTTTAAATTTATCAGCTTCATATACGCGACTCTGATTGGTTGTATTTTATACACTTTTCAGGATAAAAGTAAAAGATTAAGTAAGTCTCGATATTAAGAAAAAGAGAGGATCAAGCATTAATCTCAATATCCACCATTCTAAAGTTTTCAGCTCTAGACCATTTTTGGACTAGTTCTAGTCTTTTAACATTAAACAGTTTTTTGTACGCCCTAGAACACTTGAAATTTGTTAACTTTCTAAGAATAGTAATTTAAAAGATATTTTGTCAGCCCTCCAGCCTCTATGGGTTTAGTTTTAATCATTTTTAAGTGATATGCAAATGCAATAACTGTTTATTTAATGTATAAATAGGACGAGGTGGGGGTTCTCCATGTACTGTTCAAACAGCTGCTGTTCATGACAGGAGTCCAGGAAACAAGCTGGTTCTCCTGAATCAGGTATTGTAATACAACCAGCTTTATCTCAGTTTTTAATTTTATGCCACAAGGTCCCAATGCGGGGGTAAGGCAAGCCGAACCCATATATAACCTCCATCCCACGATTTACTCACAAACATATAGTTGCGGCAACTCGCAAACCAATAGGGCTTAAAGCCGATATATCCTCCATCAAAATGTCCCCACTCTTAAATTCTTATTGTAGAGAAATGCAGCGTTAATTTAAGATTTTTAAGAGGCCAAGGCACCTTTCTTAACCTAAACATAATTATCCTATTTTTTTGGTAATATAAGTAAAGAATCTCGACCATTGAGTCAATAAACTTTTGTTATAGACTGTGATTCATTGCGATTTCCTCGTAAACTGTAATATTTTGTACATGTGTGCTTATGTTGATCTGCTCTATAAATGTTTTTGTAGGTAAGGAAAATTCAATCTTAACCAAAAAATACCGCAGTTTTGCGTGCAATTCAGTTTTAAATTATTTAAAATCAGATAGTTAGATAGATAGATAGATAGATAGATAGATAGATAGATAGATAGATAGATAGATAGATAGATAGATAGATAGGATATATAGATATATAGATAGATAGATAGATTTAGATAATATTAAACCTAAACCTATGTTATTTCTGGTAAAAATTGAAATTCTCTCTTCCTTCGAAAATATTTTTAGAGAAGATCAACATCAGCAGGCATGTACAAAATATTATATTTTAGGAGAAAAGTACGGAGTAGTGTAAAGGGTGCGACTAGGAAGCGCTAGTTGGTGTGCGCGATACCGCAAATATTTGTGAGAAAATTGTGGGATTGAGGCTATATACGGGTACGGCTTGCCTTCCCCCCCGGCGCCTCTCCAAATTGAGTCTGAAAGGGAAGGAGTCTTTGCCACAAGATAATATGATCCCTGTATCTATTAAATACAAACCATAGATTATGTTAAATCAAATGGTCTAGGTTTGAAAGATAAAAGGTTTACACCAACAGTTTGTACAGATATAAATTATAAAATAATTTATCATTTATCAACATTTGGGAATCATTAAAATTTCAATGCTTATCGGGACACCCGGTTTAGTGTATAATGATAAAAAGTGTTTTAAAATTTCAATTTTAGGAATCTTGTGTAAAATCCTCCCAGATCAACATACTCCACCAAGAGACTATAGAACTCTCTACTGTGGCCTCAGTTAGGTTACAAGATAACCCCACACCCTGATTTTCACTCAGCTTGTTCATGGTGGGGTCCCACGGATCATGACGGTTATTAACAACTTCCAATCACGAAGAGTTAAGATGTCTCCGAAGAATGAAAAGAAATTGAAATATTGAAACATGGAGTAGACAGTTCATCGATTTAATCCTCGCACAATGAATTCAAGAGAGTTTCCTTTCTTGCATTTACTTTAAACCCCTCTCCTAGAGGAACTAAACCCATGTATTCCAGAGGAACTAAACCCTGTATCCTAGAGGAACTAAACCCTGTGTCCTAGGGGACCTAAACCCTGTGTCCTAGAGGAACTAAACCCATGTATTCCAGAGGAACTAAACCCATGTATCCTAGAGGAACTAAACCCTTGTATCCTAGAGGAACTAAACCCATTTATCCTAGAGAAACTAAACCCATTTATCCTAGAGAAACTAAACCCTTGTATCCTAGAGGAACTAAACCCTTGCATCCTAGAGGAACTAAACCCTTATATCCTAGAGGAACAAAACCCTTGTATCCTAAAGGAACTAAACACTTGTAGCCTAGAGGAACTAAGCCCATGTATCCTAGAGAAACTAAACCCTTGTATCCTAGAGGAACTAAACATATCTTATCCTAGAGAATCTAAACCATTGTATCCCGTAGGAGCTAAACCCTGTATCCTGGAGAAACTAAACCCATATCCTAGAGGAACTAAACCCTGTATCCCAGAGGAACCAAAACCTTTTTATCAAAAAGGAACTGAACCCATGTATCCTGAGGAACTAAACCCATGTATCTTGAGAAACTACACCCATGTTTCCTAGAGGAACTAACCCCTTGTATCCTAGAGGAACTAAACTTTTGTATCCTAGAGGAACTAACCCCTTGTATCCTAGAGGAACTAAGCCGTTGTATCCAAGAGAAACTAAACTGTTGTATCCTAGAGGAACTAAACACTTGTACCCTAGAGCAACTAAACCCTTGTATCCTAGAGGAACTAAACCCGTGTATCCTAGAGGAACTAAACCCTTTTATCCTAGAGGAACTAAACTTTGTATCCTAGAGGAACGAAACCCTTGTATCCTAGAGGAACTAAATCTTGTATCCTAGAGGAACTAAACCTTGTATCCTAAAGGAACTAAACCCTGTATCCTAGAGAAACTAAACCTTTGTATCCTAGAGGAACTAAACCCTTGTATCCTAGAGGAACTAAACCTTGTATCCTAGAGGAACTAAACCCTTGTATCCTAGAGGAACAAAACCTTGTATCCTAGATGAACTAAACCCTTTTATCCAAGATGAAATGTCTAATTTTAAATTTTCTACATAAAAGGATTTTCCAAACTTTGAAGGAAAATTAGTGACCTTTGATACTATAATCTCAGAGATGAAAAGAGATTCAGTACTTTTCATTGAATCAGAGAGGTTCAAACTTTTGGTGGAAACTAAGTTAAACTTCAGAAACCTTTTTTTATTGACGGAGTTTCCTGAGGCCGAATTTTAAGAATTTGAGCCCCAGCTTAAATTTAAGCCGCGGTTCAAATATGGTTGGTTCCACTTAAAATTGTATTTAATTTTTTAAAGGATTTAAGCTGGCGCTCAATTGAAACCGGTTTTTGGGCGATTTGAGACGCGGCTTAAATTCATTAAATTTGGACACTGGAAGACTAACAAAATAATAAAATAAATAAAATTTTTTTTTTTTAAAGTGCGGGGAGGGCGACTAAACGGTTTAAAGGGTTAAATCTTTAAACCTGACAGGTTGACCCATAAAAGTGTGAACCTGGATGAAGACATTTAAGCAATCTTATGTGTATTAAATGTTACTGTAAAATAAATCGTTTTTTATGTATTCTGCACTAATTAAAATCATAAATTAAGTCTTATAGTCGTCAGTTGTCTTCTTATTTCAGTGTTGTATCGGTCTCACGAGAAACCACAAAAATATTTATATCATTATTTAAAATGAACTATATATTTTTATCCCACATTGTTTCTGATTAATCTTGTACATAAAGGTGAATCTGTGATATTATATTTTGGTAAAATGGATGTTAATTTACTAAATTATTTGTTCAAATGCATGCGTCTAAAATTCATACTGTAATCCATTTCAAATGAAATAAGTCTGATAAAGAAGATTATAATTCATTTAAAACTCAAATTTGCATTTAATTTATAATTATATTTATAATTATATTAAACTTTTCAAAGGCATTAATTCTCATTCTGAGTACGTATTACATATCATTCATTCATTCATTAATTTCAAATATTCAAAGAACCAAATTTGTTAGGTTTTAATTTTTCAATTTTAAAACTTAATGAAGCCCTTCATTTTTAATTTTTGAGAATTAATGATTTAAATATTTTTTTCAACAAAAATTATAGCTATGTTTTTTTGTTTAATGATGCTTTATTTTTCACATCAAGTTAAAACTAGAAAAATTATCAATATAAAGTATGTGGTTTCAGTATCAATTTATTTTTGGTAAAATCTAAAAGCAACTGAGAAAAATCATAACAATGTAAATATGTAAGAAATACTCTGGAATCGAAGTAAAATAAAACTGTACTGTACTGTACTGTACTGTACTGTACTGTCCTGTTCTGTACTGTATTGTACAGCACTGTACTGTGCTGTACTGTATTGTACTGCACTGTACTGTGCTGTACTGTACTGTACTGTACTGTACTGTACTGTACTGTAATGTACTGTACTGTAATTAACTGTAATGTACTGTACTGTACTGTACTGTACTGTACCGTACTGTTCTGTACTGTATTGTACTGCACTGTACTGTACTGCCCTGTTCTCTACTGTAATGTACTGCACGGTACTGTTCTTTACTGTACTGTACTGTACTGTACTGTAATGTACTGCACTGTAATGTACTGTTCTGTAATGAACTGTTATTTACTGTACTGTACTGTACTGTACTGAACTGTACTGTACTGTACTGTACTGTACTGTACTGTACTGTAATGTACTGTACTGTACCGTACCATATCATTTATTGTAAAATGGTGTACTTTTTATAACCATACTGTGCTGTACATATTATACTATTACTGTGCTGTACATTACTGTACTGTTCCTGTTAATTAAAGTATAGTTTTTAAAACCATGCCTATTTTAAATATCCATTTAGTTCACTTTAAAATTAACTGCTACTTGAAATTGTACTTGTTTAACTGTTGGGACTAACCGTTAACAGAAAGACTCGAACAAGTTTGAACGTGCCCAGCCCTAAACACATTGAAACTTTTTCGAATCAAATATGATACTTTTTAAGATATTGTTATTTATAGTTTATTACAATTGAAAAATCAGGGTTTTGATCCTATATATCTATACTTGATGTGTTACTGTAAACATATATGTTGCTGTGATACCTGGAATAAATGTCTATATATACATCAATTCAATTAAAGAGAGTTAAGTCAGGAAGAATTTAAATATTACATTAATATTTTCAATTTAGGATTCCTGTTTAGCTGAATAAAATTTACTCTAAAAAAATGAAGACCTTATTGTTTCTAAAAAATTAACAGTTCCTGAAGTAAGTTGAGAATCTGAAATATACAAAAAAAGACTTATGTCAAAGCCAATATATTTCTAGAAAGTATACCATCTGAGGACATAAAAAATGCATTTAATCTTTTTTCTTTTCTTTGTCTTGATCTTTGATTTTGCCAATGTTGCCCTAAAGGAATTATAATTATATTTGGGGTTTTATATAAAAATTGCAAGAAATACAAATATCATAATCATTAGGGGAGGGGACAAAGATAGCAAAGTTTGACAGTTAATTGATTAATTATGATAAAAATCTGACTACTCCTATCCTACTATTGTTTGACTCATATATGACCCTTCCACTTTCCAGTCTATTCATGCGTAATATGTTAACTCACGTAACAAAACCTCCCACACTACTGTAACATGCTCACGTACCTATTTTTTAATGTAATGTTAACTTTCAATAGTTTTTAGTTAGTGGTATTTACTAAATATAAATTTAACTTCAATTAGAGTATTCAATCAACCTTTGATTCATTAGATGATATAAAAGGAAATAATTAAGATTAGACCTAGTGTTGAAGTTCAAGTTATTTAATTAAGGAATGTGTTTCGGAACAGTATTGAAAAAGGAAGATACAGTAAATTTGTTTAGAATGTAATCTCTATAGAAATTAGATAGAATTAATATTTACTTAAGAACTAAAACATAACCTCTTTAGAAAATAACCTGGATTTAAAACTGTAATATCTATCATACAAGGTAGGATAGATAAGCTCGGAACAAGGATTCATTCAATTCTAAAAAAACATACTAATGTAGTATAATAACTAAGTTAAAGATCAAACTTGTTATGTGGGGGGGGGGGAGGTATGGAGTCTGTAGAATTTACCTCTGCAAAGATACCCCTAATTTGTGAGGGGATAGACTTAATCAAATGAATTATCTCTATGCATGTTTTTATGTTCAGGTTTCATTCTAGATATGTATAAAGCATTATTGTCTATTGAATTAATAGTTGTTTAGAAGGATTACTACAATTGTTGCAATACTGATACAAATGCATTAATATATGAATTCTGATTAAGTATTATTGTGAAGTATATAATGCTTAAACCAATTGAAATATTGACATCTCTGCTGTAGATGGTTATTTAGACTGATCGCGTTTTGTTTAATGGTCTTATGATCTTTAATAATCCACCTTAGAACTTTTCATATCTCTGGGAAATTGTGCATGTCAGTACTATGAAGTTGGTGTCAAGAAGATACAAAGTGGCTTTTCGCAGAAGAGGATGGAATATCTGAACTACACAAATGCTTGATTGGTTATTATAAATGGTTGTGGTGGTTCTGTTCAAAAATACATTTGTTCAAAATATTAAATAATTTTTTTAATTCAAGTTGTCTTTATGTTATTACAAAACAAAGGTTTAACTTTGATTTGGAACAAAGTGTTAGGAATATCTATGATATTATTATATGCTCAATTTTCGAATCTGTTACATTGATGTTCGTAGTAAGATTTCGATTCTACTGGAGACCACACGAGGGATTTTATTTTCACTGGATAAATCAAGTGTAATTATAAACCCCTAGGAAGGATATCTGAATCCCTGCATGGAATTATAAACTCCCTGGAAAGATATGTGAATCCCTCCAGTGGAATTAAAAATCCCTGGATTTACATCTGAATCACTCCAGTGGAAGTATACACCCATAGGAAGGATATCTGAATTCCTCCAGTGGATTTATAAACCCCCTGGAAAGATATCTGAATCCCTCCAGTGGAATTTAAATCATCCTGCGTAAATTTTAAATCGCAAAAAGAATTTTTTGAAACCCCTCCAGTGGAAATGAATTCCCTCCGGTGGTCTCCAGTGGAGTCCAAATCTTACTACTAACTTTCATGATTCTGAAACACCTTAAACACTAAAATCATAAACAATTTGAATAGATCCCAGATTAATATGCTCTTCCGTTCATTTCAGTACTTCTCTGTCAGAAACCCTGGTCAGACTGAACTTTAACAGTGTTCAATGCTATTCTGCATTTTTTACAACTTTCATTACTACTATAAACCTTTTGTCTGAAACCAATTCATCATTCAAGAAAGTAGAGACCAAGGGAAAAAAAGATTAAATGCAATTTTTGTGTCCTGATAGGATATTTTCTCTAGATTTCAGAATTTAGATTTCTTTTAAGGATGATTGATTTATATGCTTGCACTGGTCCACTGGATAAAAATATAGATTTTACATAAATCTTTTATAAGCAAAACTAATTTAAGATTACTAACTTCTACTACTCAAGGATTGAAAGTTCATCCCTTGATTAGAAAATTATTTACTTCGACCAAGTAAATTGAGCAGCTTTAAAAGTAGTGATTATAAGATCTTTTCACATAATTCATGGTTGAGATGTTTAATTAATTTAATCAGCAAACCCTGGATTCATAGAATGAATGACGAAGGTAGAAAGTAAAATTAATTAGATTAGACTTCAAGATAATTAAATATCAAAGACAGAGACATATTCAAGGGGGCTATTCATGGTGGATAAGACAAAGGCCTGATTACGCCCCTGAAGAAAGGAAAAGGGGAAAGGTTGCTGTAAAATAGGTGATAAATTAAATTGGAACATAATGTAATATTTAAAGTATAGGTGACTCATGCTAAAAACCTCCCCCAGCCTCACACCTTTATCTCTTTGTTCTTTTAATGAATGCGGAGTAGTTAACCTGAACTGATTCATTAAGATTCAACAGTGCACCCTAGACCTTTGAACCGAACAGACGTATGAGTTAAGCTCCGTTTGTTCAACCAAAGGCTAGGGGACGGGCACTTCATGGACAGCTCTCAGAAGGCTTACAGCATGTGGACTTACATGATTATATCTACATGATCATATCTTCAGGAATACAATAAACCATTGATGAGACAGATATCTCCGCTTACAACAGATCAGAGGAACAAACCATTGATGAGACAGATATCTCAAGTTACAACAGATCAGAGGAATAAACCATTGATTAGATAGATATCTCAGGTTTACAGTAGAATCAGAGATATGTGGTTCCACCTCAGTACAGCTGGTTCAACTACCCACACACTCTAATACTCCAGATGTTTCTATGGTCAGAAAAACTGGAGCTATAGAGCAGACAATGGGATCAGAGCAATGTAGTTCCACCTCTATACAGCTGGTTCAACTACCTACACACTCTAATATCCCAGGTGTTCCTATGGTTAGAAACACTAGAGGCTCCGAGGATTGCTGGAACTATAGANTCTTCCTATATAGGAGTTAGTGGAGACTTGCTTAACGGCTGAGGGACTCTTCATATACACGAGTTAGGGGAGACTTGCTTCACTGCTGAGGGACTCTTCCTCATATAAGAGTTAGTGGAGGCTTGCTTTACCGCTGAGGGACTCCACAAATATATGGAATATGATTCAATATAAATAGATATTAACAGATATATTTGTACCAATAAAATGTGTAATGTTAAACCACCCACTTATTCAAGACCTTGAGAGATAGATATTATGCATAAGAAGAGAGGTTTGGGTGAACTATGAACTGGTACTGGGAATGAAAGTGAAGTCTTGCATTAACCCTCCAAGATGGGGGGCAATGATTGATCTTGATTTCCCTAGGATTTATGTCTGGGATTGTAACGATATCAAGGGATTAAATGTTACAATAATGAAAAAAATAATTCTTATTATTAATTTATAAATCTTATTTTCAATAGATAAATATCTTAATCATTAGAAATTCACATAAAAATTTGTAAAGGTGTAAAATAACTGATCCAGGATGTATCCAATTTCTTTAGAAAACTTCTTTAAGAGCCTAAAATTTTAATTTAAACCTGTTCTTTAAACACCAAGAATAAAATGAAGATTCATAAAAAATAGAAATGACAAAGTATTTGTAACTGTCATCATTTAAATTATTATAGAATTTTGTTAAATTGAAATAAAATAAAATATTTTTAATAAAACCAGTTCCTTGTACTCAACTGTGAACTTGAGGCTCTCATCAAGAGAATATTTCAACATTAATTCGATAATCTTATATTCTGAGTTAATTGTATTAACACAGTTTTACAATTAATAAATCAGTCAGTGGTCAGATTAAAGTTACAGCCAGTTAAATTTGAATCCACTAGTCCAGACTTCTTTTGGTTAAGAGAGTTAATTGTCATTTTTAAAGGGAGAGACCGGCTATCTAACAAAGGTGATCTGAAAGTGGAGAAAAATATCAAGATTAATTTGATACCAATAAGACATTTTGACAGGGTAAAATTTTAAATAAAGCGTAAAGTCGTAATATTTTTCCTGGTGTTTCAGACTGCAGAATAAACTTTTTTTTACAATTATCTAATAATCTGGACAAAACATGTTAAAAATTAATAAATTATAAACTAATTTGCTGTTAAGGAACAGATTTCATTTCCTTAAAGAAATTATGGATGCTATAGCAGAACCCCTTGTTGAAAGAATTTATAAACCTTTAAGATTTTAATCACTTATTTCTAATGATAGAAGTCTAATATATTTCTCAAAGTGTTAAATACATTTAGCTATTGTGTAGAATACCATTTGATACATGAATTGTACACCGTAAAAATGTTTCATTGGTATCATATTAATCCTAATGTTTTACTCTACAAAACTACACTTTTAGCTCAACAGTGTTACGTAACCGGTCTCTCCCTTTAAAGCAATATGCATTAAATTATAAATAGTTGCATACCTTTTCCTTATGGTCTTTAAACCTTTGATGTTTCAAATACTAAATTCAAATTGAACTCTTTTTCTTCATATTTTATATTACTTTCTTAAAGAAAATGAAGGAAATGACAATAATGTAAATTTGTTAATCCCAATATTTTATTATCAATTCTGTTAGATAAAACAAATATATGTTGAATTTGAATGATACACAGTTAGAACATGATTATTACTTCAGAAAGAACGTTTTCTTTTAGAAATAGGAGAATTTACACCTTAGGGTAATCCTTTGACAAATATGAATTCTGTATATCGTGGGAGATGTTAGAAACCTCATTCTTCCATATTTCTAACAAAAATGCAAGGAAAACATGAAAGGGATGATGGGAATATTGAATATTGAAGATTCACAAATGAAATAAGCATGAAACTAAAAAATTCTCCCCATTTCTTTTTTTTACACATTTTTTATTAAAGGAACTACTGCTTAATTGGGCTTTAAATTTCAAATATTTGAGAATTACTGCAATTGTCTAATTTTAAATAAGTAGCCTTTATAGTTTTGATTTCTTTTAGCATTGTTGCTCTTAAAATGTGTTTATCAGGAAAGTGTAATTAAAAGGTTCTTTACTGTTAGGAATGTCAATTTCTCCAGTTACTTAGAAAATACAGGGTGTCCCAATAAACATGGGAATTCAGTGACGAATTCAATATTGTCTTTTCAAAAAATTCTTTGATTTATTATAGTGATACCTACTGAGAAAGCTGTAATCTGTAAGAGTTTGTCTGCTATGTTCACATTTTGTTAGTTTATGTTTTGACTGCATACGGTTGTACTTAGTAAAACAGGAAAATTGCAGTATACAAACAGAGTAAACTTGTCCGTCTTCACTGTTCATCTTGCGGAGACATTATAAACACAGCTTTACAGTCTTTTACCCTTTTCATAAAATAAATTCTAGCAGACATGATAATATTATGTCTGTTGAAATTAGGTATTACGATACTAATTCATAACAAAGACGATATCGAATTTGTCACTGAATTCCCATGTTTTTTGGGACACCCTGTAAATCCCTATTTTATTTTAACCATAATTTTGGGGGTTTGTTGACATGCTTTTAAAATATCAGGGATACAGGGTAGTAATGGGCTAGAACTGGGAGGAATTCAAGGTTTGGTTTCATTAATCTATGCTAAATTTGTATTTTTTAAGAAAAATTTTCAGTAAGCTAACCAAAAAATTTCCTTTTTGTTTTAGATATTTTTCTGCATTTAACATTTTCTTAGGGTCAAAATTTGGAATAGTGCAAGGAAATGAAATATTTTTATTAATGATTTAGAAATGTGTAACCTTCACTAGATTTGGGATTTGGCTTCTGTTTTTTGTTTGCTTATATTTTTGATGATAAAGAACATAAATACTATGAAAATAAATTTTCAATTATCATTTATTGGACTCAATCTTACTACTTACATTTTGTAAATGGAATGATCCATAAATTTGATCCATAAATTGGAATTCCAGGAAATTTCCAAATGAAGTGGAACCCAAATTTTTCCAGATTAGTTATGATTGATACCTGGATTTTTTCCAGTTTACGGAATGGAAACAGGAAATTTCCAGAACCCTGTTCCAGAATTCTTGAATGTTCCAGAAAAATTCAGGTTTTTATTCCGTAAACCAGAAAAATTTCCGGGTGTCATTCCTAAACTGGAAAAATTCCAGTTTCCATTCCATAAACTGGAATAATTTCTGGATTCCATTATGTAAACTGGAGTTCCATTCCCCAAACCAGAAAAACTTCCAGGGTTTCCATTCTGGAAACCAGAGTGAGAATAAAAAAAATCAGCATTGTTTCCAGCACACATTTTAAAACTCTGACCAGTTTTAAACCTTCCCTTGGGCCATGTGAGTTGCCTCACAAATTTTGGGTTTATCAGTTCAGCTGTTTTGACGTATATTGGATTCAAACAGACAAACAACAGACGAGCAAATTTTATAAACAGAGTGAGAAAAAATTTCGCAACAAATTTTCCGTAAACCGGAATTTTCTGGAACAATATTCCGAAACGTTTTGGAATTTTGGAAAGGGTTCCGGAGATTTCCCATTTACAGATGAAAAGTTGTTGCAGAATTGATCCCAAATTACAGAATTACTGAACCTTTTCCAGAATGAAAATGGAAAAAAAATTCCAGATCATTTCCATATGTAAACTTTAACCCGGAATTCCGGTGGAAACTTTATTTACTACTAAAACTTTTCTTTCTCAAAATTCTAAAAAATAGAGATCTTTCTCCTGAAGTTTAGTTTTTAGTTTTAGTTTTGTTAATCTTTTTAAATACACTTCTGTAGCATTTGAACAGATTGAGATTAACATAATTCTCAAAAATAGGGATCATTATCACCCTAAGGCATCCAGGAAATCAAAACTTTTTCATGAAGAGAGTTGCTGGTAAACTAAAATTTAAACTGAAATTGAAAATCTTAAAATCTGAAAAATCTATATTTTCCAGAGGGTTTCAGGCCCATTTCCCCCAGGAAAAAAATGTCAAGCCTCCCACCCTGGACAGTGGACAAGTTCCTGTTTATGCCACTGACATTGTTCCTATGAATATCTGCTTGTATGTTTAATATTAATATATGAATGAAATCTACGCCTTGAAGTTTAGATCAGAGCTAAAAAGCAGTAAGAAAAATAAGAAAAATAAGAGTATTTGAAAATAGTTAAACATTCCTATTAATAACCAGGAAATATGAATTATGTATTGTTTCAACATGTTTGTCTAAAGTTTTCCAATATTGGTTTAATCCCTGTAAATCTACAGTTACGACATGGTTTAACAGCCTAGGGGCCTCTTATATCTACGGTTTGGATATTTGCAATCTCTGTTATTGAAGAAAAAGATCCTGACTGGGATAGGCTCCTTACAACAGTAGATAGATTATTGTTCTGGTAATTTAATTTACACCATGATAATTTGTCCAATTGTAAATAATGGCTGCTAGGATTCACAGATGAGTCACCTATTTGTAAGGAACCAGCAAAATGAACCTTGCTCAAATATAAAAATTTTAGTCTTGAAAACAAAATTTTCAAACTGAGCTTGGCATTGTAATATTCAAACTCAACACCAGTATTTAAAAATGTTTTGACAGTTTAAAAACAGAATTTTAAAGGTTTATTGATAAGTTTGAAGACAAATGTGTTTTTAACTCTAATAGTTTTTTTAAATTTTTATTAAACTTTTCAATATTTGTAAAATAACCTGTATGATATCCAATGTAAACAATTTGAGACTTCTGTATGTCTTGTTCTCCATTTTTTCTTCTTGGTCGTCCATTCCTCGTCCATCTTTCAATCATATTATTTGGCTAATTCTGAAAATAAATATAAAATATAAATGGATTGTTTGAATCCTGCAGGTAGACAAATTGAAAGAGAAAGAACTATTAATCCTATCTCAGACCCATTCTGAGGGGAGCAAGGTCACTACCCTCTCCCCTTGTTTTATTTTCTATTCTTTTTTGAGACAGCTATAACTCATGAAGCTTGCAAAAGCTTCTTTTCTACACACTTTCCATGATATTTTCTTGGAGGGGTCATGCTACACATTTTCCAGTTTTTTTTTTATTTCGAGTAGGACATAGGAGGGGGGATGGGACTTCAGCCATCCTGTGTATTTTTCTTCTTTAGTTATCAGTGAAAAAAATCAGATAGTGTAAAGCTCAAATCTGCTTCTAGTTTTCTTCTTCTTGTTTATATTTTTTGATTTCCCCATCTCTACTGTCAAGAGATTTTCCTTCCCCTTTTTTCTTTTCAACATTTTACTTTTTCTTGTTTCTTCTTTAAGGCCTTTCCAAATAGTTCTTTTGCCATCAAGTTGTGGAGCAGGTAGGAGAGAGAGGTTTCGTAGGAAAAAGGGTATATATTATAGGGGAGCCATCATGCTAATGCATTCAACCAGTGGGATTTCTTATATTTGTTATGATTCAATAATTCTCCAATTATGGTGTACACAAACTTTTGGGTATTTAAAAAAGGTTTATTGAAATTAACCATAAATGTGTTTTAACACTGCAACATACATTTGTTTCAGAACATAAGGTCAAGGTTAGTCCATTTTGTCTTTGATATTCACAATATAAACTTTTTATCTTGATATCCACAGTGTGGACTTTTAAACATAGAGCAGATTCTTTTAGATATCTTGATCAAGCATTGATCTAAATATTTTCCTTTTCCATGTCGGAAACACCTTCACCTCATAATAAAAATCTCTAATTTTTTTTAAATTTCACATTTTTATATCAATGTCAAGCTTGGTTGATGAGCCTCCATCACAAAATATTCCAAATACTAACTTGCAAACTTCCTATTTCATGCAATCTCTTAATTACACTAGAGGATGGGTTGTATAGTTGGGTCTTGGTTTGCAACAGTCGGTTAGAAACATTACATTTCCTGATCATGCGCACTCTCCCCTCCCCCAAATTAAGTAAATTTAAATAAATTTTTTCCAATAAAAAAGGAGGACGAAGAAACTCAGCAGGAGAATGCAGAAAGCAAAAAGATAAACAAAGGAAAAGGATGAAAGGAGAGGTGGATGGTATGCTGGAAAGGGTGGATGGTGTGGAGGAGAGAGAGCTGGATGGAGTGCAGGAAATGGTGGATGGGGTGGAGGAAGGGGAGAATTACGTGCAGGAAATGGTGGATGGGGTGGAGGATGGCATGCAGGAAATGGTGGATGGCATGCAGAAAATTGTGGATGGGGTGGAGAGAGAGGTAGATGGGGCGGAGAGAGAGGTGGATGGGGAGGAGAGATAGGTGGATGGGGTGGAGAGGAAGCCTACTGTAGTGTAAGTTCACAAATTAATTGATTTATTGATCCAGATCAAAAAATGTCTGTTTGTTTATGTTTGTTCATCATTTTTTTTGTGGAGTCTGTTTCCTCAATTTCTGGGTTTGTTTCCAGTTTTTAGAACACATTTAAAATTCTCCAGTCTGTTGATTGGTTTCCTGTTTTTTTAGATCAGTTTCCTTGATTTGAAACTTTTTCTGAAAACAAACTGAAAACTGACCCAAAATCAAAGGAAACTGATCAACAAAATGAGATTTAAATTTGTTTTTGAAAAAACCTCCACACTTTTCAGCTTTTCAGGGGTTTCTGAAAATTCATGAAAAAAGGAGGAAAAAGCACCACAAACACTTTTCAAGCTGTGTGAGGCCAGATTGGTTGGCCTTGGTTTAGGGATGGGAAGTATAAGTAAAATCTGTGTGTTTGCATATAGAACTTAGCATTATGAATTTAGAAATTAGAACTGAAAAGTTTCTGGTTAGTCAGATCTTTTTAAAATTATGAAAGAATTCAGAATTGAAGATGTCATTTTTATGTATTCGATGTTTTAAGTAAAAGTGATATTTACAAATGTGTTTACTCCACTTCTTTTTGCTTAAAAACACATAAAAATTAGTTTAAAATTCGAAAAAATATTATTTTTTTCAAGTAGTTTTCTGGACATTGGTTAATTCTGTATTTTTTTACAGTCACTAAGATATTGATATCAAGAATTTTAATTCATGATTGGAAGATCTAGTGAAGCAAATCTTTTCATCAAGGTAAATGTTATTCTTTTCCCCATAAATTCATGTATATATATGTATATGATTGCTGCCCTGCCAATAGGAGGAGAACTAATCTAGGTGAATTTATTAAACCCACAATACCAAGAAGATTTGTAAACCATGGACCTTTTCTTGAACCTGGTTCCTACCCTTGTGAAGGTGCTAGAATTGAACCCTGTAAAAAAGGTTCATGTGATCTTGAAGACATGTTAATCCGTCTAAAATGTTGGTGTCCCCCTGTGATGGAAGAAACTTGACAATTTGTCAAAATATCTGCAGTTCCCAAAACAACATTGTTCATCTAATTTACCAATCTATTTACCAATCTGCAGTACAGAATGTGCCTGGGTCGCCAAAGAAACAAACCCCTAAATCAAGTACAAGATGGGTTGAACCAAATCACATGAAAGAATGCAAATTAATAAGCATCTTGTCAACTTTTCTGTTTGTTTTAAATGTGAAAACCTGTTTGATTATGAATGCAACCCTCCCTGTCCACAAGCCAAATCTAAACACCCCTTTCTATAATAATGTTCTAAACTAAGAAAATTAAAAATGATATTCACTTAACCAATAATATTATAATCTATGTATATTAAACATTTACGTTTGATAAATCTGTAATATGTATGTATCATCAATAAACATTTAGATCTTAAAAAAGATTCAAGATCTATACTGTTTAAAAACAAAAACAAGCAAAAATGTGCTTGAACATGGTTTCTAGATTCACAAGTACGACAAAACTTCAACTAAAACAAATTTATTTGCAAAATGATAAGCTGGGGTAAAAGACTAATGTTAAGTAAGTGGTCAGTATCGTCTGCTTGGTACATACATAGACAGTTATAAATAATATCCTAGAGATAGAATTTGATAAGGGTGACTAAATATCTATTAAACTTTAAGGCATCACATCAATTTTCTTTAGAAAAAAAAATATCCCTTGTTACTTTTGCAGGATAAACGTTAAACGAATAGTAAAAGGGACAGAAATGAGATTAAACTTTCAGGCATCAATTCATTCAGAAATGTTATACCAAATATTAGGAATTAGTGGAGGGGCAGGACTTACACTAAGTATTTCATGATATCTTTTTGTTTTAAAATGTGTTGAATGAATGATGAGTATGACTATAGGATAAGATTGTTTTGTCAATCAAAGTTTGAATAAAGCCATTTGTTATCTATGATTAAATAGTTTATACAGAATGAAATTAGTTAATATTATATGAAACTACCATAATAATGACCACATTGTAGAGGATAAAATCCCCGAAAGAGGATTATGATGGTCTTGAGGGTGTTTCATTTTTGTCTTTGCCCATTTTAAGTTGTAAAATAATTTTACAGTGAGATTAACTTTAATCAAATAATTTGTGAATGATCAGGACATAATATAGAATTGGAACATTGCATTAGGTATATGTTTATAAGTTCCATGCTATAACAAATTTTCTCATAAATTAATATCAAAAGATTTAAAAATTATTATTGAGTCACACATTAGATGGTCATCAAAATAAAATGATCAAGAATTCAGGATCTATTATTGTTACAAAGTTTATTCAATTTTCCAATCCATGTGAGTAGAATTCAAATAATATAAGACAGATCCAGATCTCAGCATGTCATAAATAGACAGTTTGTACTTGAACCAGTTCCCTATAGCAGATGGAGCATCCTTGTAATTCTCTATCCAAACAAGTACATTGACTGGGATTGCTAGAGACTCTATGTTGTTCAGTCTTAAGGCATTGGCAGTTGCATATTTAACTTCAATACTGTCATCATCATTTAGTCTCAGTTCAGACTTCATGGCACCAGTTGCCATGATGCACATGGCAGCAGCTAGGCAAATGTCATTTCTAGCAATGCGCTAGCAGAGACAAACCTAGAGTTGCAGGAACATGGATTCCCGAGTATAACTCCAATTGTGTGTACATAATCATGAAGGGAAGCATGCTTGCTTTTTGACAGATCACTTTTTGAAACAATCTTCGTTGATTTGCAGTAAGGGAACAAGCTGCCCGGTCTGCCTATAGCTTCTGTTAACCTGTGCCTTTTCAGCAGAGTGTCTGCTACTGATTTGTTTTGATTCCACTTAATTGGAACAAGGAACAATTCAGATATGAAGCAATAATCCCTATACGCACCCATATCTTTCCACTGGGTCGTAACTGTTCTGAATTGTAGTGTTTGGTCGTCCGTCTCTTCGAGAAATAGATACCAATCATATGCTGCAAGGAGATTGTCCAACTTAGCAACATCCACTGAGGGCATCCAGTTGAAATAACTCCAAGTTGGTTTTGATTTCCTAGCAGTTTAGCACAGTTGACCTTGGCATGTTTCATTTTCTGCAGACTGATATCTATTAGAATACAACACATCTTGTGGTAGATTCTTATATTTATCTAGAGAAACCTGGGTGCCAACTACAGGGAGAGGATTAACTTTGTACGGGACAAAGGAGAGATTCTGGTGTTCTTTGAAATAGTGAAGAGTGAAGAAACCTGCAAATCAATATCAACAACTTGGGTAAACAACTCAGTAAAATAATAGAGATATTTTCTCATTTTCTCACAACTTCTAGCTTCACATTTATGCCTCCATGTATTGTTTAGTATATACTACATAGATCGTCAAGTTGAACCTCCACTGGTTTCACCAAATCAGGATTGTAGATACTTAGGGTTTCCACGAAATGGCTAAATCTTTTTCGCAAAATTTGTGCTATTTTCGCGCAAAATT